ATATCTTTAAATGAAATATTTTTTAAAATTATGCAAACTCTCTATTGGCGCGATTTTAAAGATTTCAAATATTTGAACAGGAATAATAATAAAGAGTTACTTAAAATAGGATATCGCTACGAAAGATGAAAGAGCAGACTTTTCTATAGGAAACGGCACTCCAATTTCATTTTATTAATTCCACTTTTCACCAGAAAAAAATCTAGAAAGATATATGAACATCGAAAAATCGCAAAATTTCTTTCTTTTGCAACTACTAAATTAGCTGAACTAATTAAAAGTTTAAGACTTTGCACAACAGATTGCATCCTCAAACTCATTAACATCAGTAAGTTTCGTTAAAAGAATGTCCAAAACGTGAAAATGGCTGGTTCACTTTCACATGGAATGCTCCATGTATGTTCCAAAATTTTAATTTTTCCAGAAATTTTAGGTACGGTTGTCCCTGAAATTTCTGAATCAATTTTTAAACAAAATTTTGCTTTGAAAAATGCACTTCACATTTTCACCTTGCACTCTATTTTGCACCTTACTTTACAGGCATACAGACGAAATACTGCGCTCTTTATATTCTTTCCCAGATGATTCTTGTTAACGAGTAAATGTTCTCCACCGCGATTCTCTGTTGATGGAGATGTGTACTATTCACTCGCAATTTTCATGATTATGCAAGGAATATTTATACAATATTCTAAACATTTCATCGACATTTATATATTGTGTGACAATTCTTTCACTGTGCCGGAATATTCGGTACATTGGGGAACGAATCAAACTTTTTATAAATATTTAGCATTAGCTGAGTAATAAGCCCTATTTTTCTTCAAAAAATTCATTTTGGACTGCTCTTTCTTGCAAGTTGTTCTTATTCTCTTGAAAGATTCTGAGTGACATAATATTACAGAGTGTTGCCACATCGAGCAAAAATAAAAAAGATCATGATCAGTATTGATTACATTAATGAATTTAAATTATGAACGACTATAAACTATATTTTGATTAAAACTAATTAATTCTTATTCAAGTAATGACTCATAACTCCAATTAAATGCCATATATAAATAAATTTGAAATTGTTAACTTAAATATTTATTATAGAGAACATTCACAAAAGTATATACGTTTTGTTTTAAATTAATGGTTTATTAATATGTGCTCATACGTATATTTATTTCATTTTTTAAATATCCTGTATTTTTGATTGTCTGAGATTCTCTGCTTATCATATTTTTAGAATCCAAGCAGTTTATTTGCTACAAATTGCTAATTTCTAAGATATTTTTCAGCGTGGTTTTTAGCGCCCAAACGTTTGTGCTTACTTCTGTGTCTCGCGCGGAGAATCGCAGTGTAGAAGTTATACGTTGATGATCATCATGAAATTAATTGACGATAAAGAATTCACATTGATCATTAATATTAATTATTTTAATATTATTGTGTCTTAATTACTTAATGAAGTACAAAACTTAATATTAACTTATAGAAAAAACATGTACTTGAGAAAAAAATTTAAATATAACTCATGAAAATATTTTACATTGTTTTCATGAAAATGAATTTTCAATGCAAAAATGAAAATAAGAGAAACGGTTTCCAATGATCTTGATCTTAACAAATATTATCTAGAACATGATCTTGAACAATATTTAAGAGATTTTAGCCATCGTGTCGGTCAGATATCTTGCGTAATGCTAATATCAGCGGTAACTTTCAAGCATCGTAATTCAAAAAATACTTAATGAAAAAATATTTTCTTATAGCGTTTTGGAAAACTCTTGACACTATTAGATTTTGGAATCAAAAGTAGGATGTCCTTTAATTTAAAAAATCGATGTGACATTGACCTTAGTAACGCCATCTGACAAGGTCAAACTGATAAGAATAGTAAATAAATCTTTTTGAACCCTACAACTTTTATCTCAAACATTTTTTATAATATTTATATTTTTTTAGATATTCAGGTGTCCTGACTTTTTTGGACACCCTGTATAAATACGTATTGGAAATAAAACTAAATGTTTCTAACTATGCATTCTGTTACTTATCTATTCTTTTTTTATTTATTCTACATTTCATATAGAATAATCAGTCATACGTGACTCCGCACCGCAGTGCCGTCCGTGGATCCAATTTCTATCTGCACGGCCTGCTCTTAAAATGGCTCTACAGGTTTTAATTTTGCGAATTCCGGCTTAAAATTTTACGATTGTATTTTTAATACTTAAAAATTTCAGAAAATGTTATTAACAAAAAATAGATTTTTTTTTTTACCCAACAAGATAGAAAGTTCCTTAAGTATCTCTAAGATTTTAAATAAATCTCTGAAGAATGAAATCTCACTTTCAAAGATAAAAAATTAAGCCGTTCGTTTTTAAGACTGACTCAATTTTTATGAGATTCCACTCCAAAGAATTTAAAGATCAGCATACAAAATACAAAATACATATAATACATGCTTATTCTAATGCGTGTTCAGTACATATACATAAGTATATTTGGATTTCTTAAATATTTGTCTTCAATATTTTACTTTTCAAAAAGTTGTAAAAATACAATGTCGGACGAACTGCAAATTCTTTGAAAATAGACGGCGCATAACATTATAGATAGTATTCTAATCTAAATTCTGACAAGAGTTATCAACTGTCTAAAGCAAGCTTGACTTATTTAAAGGAGGGAATTCCAAAAAGAAAATATATCAGTCTCAAACGAAATAATTAATTTCATGTAACGTATTTTACAGCGCGTACCGGTGAGATATTAAAAGATCGTCGGTCCTGGACAAATTTTCGGTGGCTATCAATGGTGCTCGGGGATAATTGAAGAATGATGACGTTACCGACAATTAATAAAAATTTGATTTGAAATATGATTATTTAATAAATATTTCGATAATACATTATTAAATTCGTATTTTTTTAATTATATAAATGCTGTATAAATAAGTATGCATATTTTTAATGCTGTAATATTTATATTGTCGAAAAATTACAACTTTTTTTCTGTAGTTCTCTATTAATAATGAAATTCGGATGATATCATTAAAATCATAATTTTAAATAAAAATTCAAGTATTATTAAGTTTTAAATATATGTACATGTCTACGAAACTAATAAATCATGAAATTAGTACCATACTACTAGTTTCTTATTCTTAATTACTTAAATTTTAACGAGCATGAGAATTTTCATAAGCGCCAACAGTCTTTAATAGTATCTCGTAGGTGCAGCGCGCGCCGTGATGATTTAAATCGCGCGCCGAAAGATGCATATGCGCGCGTTCGCGACGGCTAGCATTGCAGCGGCGAATCCTCGAGGCTCGAAGTCTGCCGAAGATAGGCCATCTGGTCATAAGCATAGGGAACGAGCCCGAGTAGCAGTGATCGGACTGACATACGGAGTACACGAGAGTACGGGACACTCTCGTGGCCTTGCGCTCGATCTCGCTCACACACAGTTAGTGTCCATTCATTCAGTGTCGTTGAATTCGTCGCGAGTTCTTCACGGAGCATCCGGCTTAACCGTCGGCTAAAATTGTCGCAGTGATTGTGAGAGAGAACGAGAAAGAGAGAGAAAGAGAGAGAAATAAAATGCGGTATCGCGCGAGATTCCGGCATTGCATCCCGTGTCCGTGGCTTCGCGAGAATATTGTCGTGGCCGCGGCCACGTTTTGCTGAGATATGCGCGGTATGCCCGATCTGTCCGCGTCATTCCGCAGTGTGTTTGTGCGGGTTAATCTCAAGTATAGCGCGAGTGTTCGCTACCGCGTGATAGTATATACAGGTAGAGTGTGGGGTGCGAATAAAGGAGAAAAGAGAGGACAAGTGTATGTTCGGTTAGGAGAGGCAGGAAGAGATATCCGTGTATTATAACGAGCATTCCCGCACGTCAAGATGTCGTCGTCCGGACACAGCAGTCGCACTCGCGCCGTCCACATCGGCTCGATCTTCCAGAAGCTACACGGTCGCTTCGCGGACGCGATGACGCCGCCTAAGCTCTCAACCGACAAACGTACACTCGACAAGACCTGGAAGTTAATGGACAAGGTCGTGAAACTCTGCCAGCACCAGCGTATGAACCTTAAGAACTCGCCACCATTTATCCTCGATATTCTGCCCGACACGTATCAGCGATTGCGGCTCATCTACAGCAAATATGAGGACCGTATGCAGATGTTGCACAGCAATGAACACTTCTGCGTGTTCATCAACAATCTGATGCGTAAGTGCAAACAGGCGATCAAACTGTTCAAGGAGGGTAAGGAGAAGATGTTCGATGAGACGTCGCACTATCGCCGTAATCTTACCAAACTCAGCCTCGTCTTCAGCCACATGCTGTCCGAGCTGAAGGCCATATTTCCCAATGGAATGTTCGCCGGCGATCAGTTTCGCATCACCAAGGCGGACGCGGCTGAATTCTGGAAGGAGCGCTTCGGGAACAGGTATGTGTCGCCACGCTTCTCCTTTAATCGCAACCCGAAGAAGCTAGCTTCGCCGAGGTGCATTCGTTGCCTTCATTCCCTTCGTTTTTTTTTTGCGGCAAGTTCTTGAGCTTCCACGATATTTGATGATTGCTAGATGATTCTCGAGAAATGACTTTCGGTCGTAAAATTACAGATCCAAAATAGCAAAAATGTTTTGGTTATATCAATAAGTTTAAAGAAAATGCATTTTTATCATTCAGAATTCTTATCGTAATTGAATTTCTATCTCGAATAGGTGTTTGATAGATTCGACTGTAAGAACATCTGATTTGTATCTTTGTGGTTGTTAAATCTATCGGATTTATTTACAGTTAGATTTGTTTTTACGTGTGTTTTCTAAACTCGCGAAATATTCGAGATTGCGCTGTACTTTTAGCCAAGATTTCCAGAAAGTCATTCTTCATGATATACATATTTTAGAGATTTAAATTAGAAAAAGGAACAGAAAACCACTCTAGTTATTGCTTCCCGCAATATTACTTATAATAGAGAAAAACCTAAAAACGTTTTTTTGAGCCCGTATCAAACTAGAAATTGACAATGAGATTAAAGTTAAATTTGACTAATCAAAGCAAAACTAAGGCCCAGTTCCACCAAAGATTAACTTTATCAACTCGGTTTAATTTACTGTTTTTTTTTTAATTAAAAAAAGATAAACAGTAATAAATTAAACCGAGACAGCACTTACTGTCCGGGTGCGTTCCAACATATTTGGCGCTCACGTTCGTGGACATTAATTATCTTTGTTTAACATTTGATAAACAATAAGAGTCAAATGATCATTTCATGGGCGATATGTTAGTGTTAACATATCGCTGGAACGTACCATCTTTTTGTAATTAATTAGAAAAAGATGAACAGTAAATTACAAATGTTATAATAAAGTTAATCTTACATTATGTGTGTGATGAAACTGAATCTTCATAAACTAGATATATTTAGACTTAATATATTTCTTTTTTTTCTGATTGGTCTTTTTAATTTCAATTTAAATCTCTAATCTGATCGGCTTTAAGCCCTTTAGACAAATTCGCCGCGGTTACATGACAACTCTCTTTAAATCATAAGTATCAAGGAAACTTGATACGGCATACTGAAGAGATTCAGAATTTGAGAATTGTTAGACGAAAAATGATACTTAATTCTTGCTTTGACAAACACGTCAATTTTTTTATATATTGTAATAATCCGGCTCCTAAGATCGAAAAATCTCAAGACCAAATACTCACTTGCATTTTAAATCAGAGTTGGAGAAAGATTTAATCCCTGCGGCAGATTTTGCAGCACAGAGTTTGAAAATTCGAGAATTTGTGTTAAACTTAAAGAACAATAAAAATTCTACTTTTTGCAGACATTGTTAATTTTAGCATAAGTTGGCTAAAATCGAAGGAGACTCGAGATTATGATACATTTTTTAATCAGATCTTAAGGAAAATTCATTCTCCCTGCGAAAAGTTTTCGAGCACAAAATGAAGTAAAAAATGGATATTCCAAATTACTAAAATTGGAAAGTATAAATTATGTTAATCTTGATTTTATAAATGTTGTCGTTTCGTATATATATCTCAAAGTTAATTAAAGAAAATCGATTTTCCCAAAAAATTTTGCTATTTCCTAAAATCCAATCTTAAAATCCAAAGATTATCTCGTTTGGAAAGATAATATTTTTATCTCAGCAAACGTTCTCAACTTTTGTGTAGCAAGTTTGACTGCGATGATCAAGACGGATTCCACTATTTTCAAAGTTTCCACTATTTATTCATTTGTTTCGTTGAGGATACTATTGGGTTGTCCGGAAAGTTCGTGCCGATATTGAAGGAAAATTGAAACGCAGAAAATTTTAATTTAATAAATGTATACTAAAATTTAAATTTTAGTCGGCACGAAACTTTCTGGACAACCTAATACATCGATTTTCATATGAATTCTCCGCAGAAAATTCCATTTTCATTACTGGACTATAAAAGTTCTCGGTACTAGAATCCCAGAAGGGGAAGGGAAATAAAGGGAACTTCTGCTTTAATATTTTATAAGCATTGTCAATCTTGTGCAGGACTATTTGAAACTTTGCTCTTCGTAACTTGACCTTTCACCACAGTTCAAAAAAAGATTCATCGACTTCCTTGAGAGAGAGAGAGAGATTTATAAAGCTCTTTCGGAATTAACACGGCAATGTTTTTGCCTCGAGGTCGCTAAACTTTCCTAAGCTCTGAAAGATTTAAGGATATAATTTGGTTGTGTTGTATTGTCCAGGTCCTCTAATATATACTCATCGCGTACAAATTCATACAATTTCATTGTAACAAATTTATCGACTTGAGGTAGATGACGAATCTTTCTCAGAGGAAGGAACCTCCGATCGGAAGATGTCTAACGGCAATGTCTCGCGCCAAGTAAATAGATCCTCCGATCACATCTCCGCTCCGGTGCAATATTATTACGCTCACTACAACTCATGGTTTCTTCTTTTCTCTCCGTTTCTCTCGACTTTTCTTGATCTTCCCGACCTCCCATGGCTTCTGTCCATTTCCAATCGTACACAATTTGTGAAATAACTAACATCTGCACGTTCGTCCTGCACGTGTTCACGAGACCTTCGGATGAATGTGTGTAAAAAACAAATAATAAAGCCCATGACATATATAAGAACGTAAATAGTAAGCAGTAAGCGAATTAATCAATCACAGTTAGAGATGGTAATGTCAATAGCGAATCAATGTTATGATTTTCTTACTGATTACGCTTTACGTTTTTTTATGTGTTCCCGGTTTAAAGGTGCGTAAGCGGAACTCGCACGTGCGCACAATCTAACCTAACCTAACCTAACCTAAAAATCATGCATATCGTGGAACGAGGACAGGGGAAGGGGCATAAAGGACTAAGAGGAGGAAGGAAAAACAGGGAACTCACGATTGGTGAATGAACGAGACGACACTGCGCGGGCGGACATCTATCGTTGATATTGACATTATTATCGTACACCGAAAGGCGTGTCGGTTCATGTGCAATCATGAGTTCTTTCGTTCCATAGAGAATGCGTTTTATCGACCGGAAGTTGGGCGGAGCATAAGGTGGTATATCAAGAATTTTTGTGCACGTAGAAGAGAGGGAGAGAGAAAGAGATAAAAAGAAATATTATAGCATATATTTTAATCTTGGGACAGATCCTCTGAGAATATAATACGATTGCAATGATATTTTAGGTCTCCTCTTTGGTGCAGCTGAATACTCGTTTTATTTAAATAAAATACAAAATACAATTTTACTTAAAATAAGATTACTTTACCATTGGAACTATTAAAGTTTGGCGAGAAAGTTAAAGTCTGTTTTTTTTAGCACAGTATTTTTTTCTTTTTCTCTCCAATGTGAAAAGAAACAGAGGAAAGATGAACCATTCAAGAAATTATATAAGAAGATATAAAAAAGAACAAGTCTCTAGAAAGAAAGTTTTAATGTCATCCAATGCAGCGACAAAAAACAGGCCTATTATTATATGTTAAGCAGATTTAACATAATTGACAGAGTTCCGGCTCTCCTTCAGGAATTCCAGCAGATTTTTAAAAACAGAGGCCCATATTCAGAACGTACTTTTATCTCTAAAATTCTACAGTATGCGTAAATTATATCATGTTAGTGCGTCATCATAGAGTTCTGAATACGGAATTTCCAAACGAATTCTGATGATTAGTGCAAAATATCCATCAAAGGATCCAGCTATGCATTTTCGCTTATTGTCGCTATATTTGTTACAGTCTTCTTTATTTTAATCGTCTAAATCTGGAAGAAATAGAACAGAGATCAATTTTATTTTCTTGTAATTTTGTTATTTTCAATATTATTTGTGTTATATTAACAAGTTGCAGCTGGAATTAAGAGTAATAAGATCTAAGAAAGTATGATTAAAAGTTCAATAACATTCGGCTAGTTCCATCGCGGCTCGAAAATTTTTCGTATCTCGATATTTTTGTCGAGAAACGAGAAAAACTTATAACTGTATTATGTAAGTTCTTCTATCTCCCTGTTTTTTTTTCGAGATTACGAGCGTTGGTGTTACTTTTATAAAGTCAGTGAAGAAAGGACAGGATAGGGAGTGAGAGGAGAAGAGAGGAGAAGAGAGAAGAGAAGAGAAGAGGGAGAAAGAGGGATGAAGAAGAAGGGAAGGGGAACAGTGTGGAGCGGAGTGGAGTGTCGCGCGCTCTGATGTCAATCGCGTGTGTTTGATCTGCAATGTCGCGATTTAATGTATTCGGCGATAATAAACGAAGAATGCTTTATCCGGTCGAACTCGCATTTAACCATCAACGTCGTCGACGCGGCGACTGCAAACTATCGTCGCACTGGCGCGCCTACACGCATGGCACACACATGCATAGGCACATAGAAGACAAAGGCGATTGCCCCTCCCCCTTTCCCTATAGCGCGTGACATGTTGAAATGGTAAAACGCACTCTCGGCTGCGTGTATGCGGAGCAGCGTGCAAGCCGAGAAGTAGCAGATACTGCTGCATTAGCATAAAACAACTTCCGGTGTGATTCCGCTGGTTCCTGGAGCGTTGCAGGGATACGCTCGGGCTACAAGCGATGTCCGGGGTCATATTCGGATTCCGTTATGAGTTACAATTATCGTCACTGATGTTTCGAAGCCGTTTATCATCGTGTCGCATCGTTTGTCCGGACATCTAGGAGATGAATGGAGGAATCCTTTATATGTACTTTGTAACACTCGTTAAAGTTAGCACTTCAACATTAAAATTACATAAGTAGTTCTGATTGAAATACCTGTGTTATTTTGAAAAAACTAAATCCCATGCAATTGAAAATTAAAATTTAGCCAATCAGAAACGTATTAAATTTAAAATTAAAGTTATCTTACCGGTTGAATTCTAATTTCTAATTTGCAATCTTCAGTTTTTAATGTATGCGGGTATTTTAAGGCTGTGTTCCAAAATTTACTGTCAA